AAGCAGGGGTGGCTCTCAACTCTGGGTGTCCTTTGAGAGCCTTCGACATTGTAATACCATGGCTGCTTTGTAGACCAAATATCTAGTTGTTTGTCTTTAGGGAATTAGGCCTCAAGCAGCAGAGCCAACTTTCCGCTGCCGGAATCCGGGTGATCTGTCCAAGTCAAGAGGGTGTGTCGCCTGCTTCCTAGACTGGACATCCACGACCGATAAGGAGAAACTGGAGGCCGGAGCAAGGGCCCTCTGTGCCGGGCCGGCAGACCGAGCCAAACACGGCAGCTCCAGCCGGGCTTGTGTTCCGATCAGGCAAGTCTGCTAGTCTAGTAACGGCGCCTGCGAGTATTTGAGAAGGATTGAAATGGTATCTGGCTAGTTTTGTGTGGGTGGGTGGATGGAGGGTGTGGATGTAAGGATAAAGCGAATTCAGATACACAGCTACCTATTCAAAAAATCTAGAAGTGAGATTTTTCTCTTTTGCAGTCAGAAATTATTCTCTCTCGATCTCGGCTCGCAAGATATACTACTTCGAATAATAATGGCATCCTTCGACGGCAAAGTAGTAAGTACTCATTTCCAAAGCCCTCCCACGGCTGAATGCGGGACCATGAAGTCGGACTTGTAATAACCACAAATCGATATATTCAAGATCGGGATCACAGGCGGTGCGTCTGGAATGGGCCTCGAGATAGCGAAGTTGCTTGCATCCCGCGGTGCGACAATCTCGCTTGCTGATATCAACGAGGACGGCCTAGAGAAGGCGGCCAAGTCTCTGCAGGGTAATGGGAAGCACATCTACACGAAAGTGGACGTGACTCAAAGCGCAAGCGTGGATGCCTGGATTAAAAGGACCGTTGAAGAGTTGGGCAAGATCGACGGCGCGGCCAACATGGCTGGCATTCTTACTGACCCCAAGCCTGTCACCGACAGCGATGATGACGCATGGGAAAGAACGTTTGCTGTCAACACGCGAGGCGTCTTCAATTGCATCAGGGCTGAGCTGAGGGCAATGAAGGACGGTTCTAGCATTGTACGTCGACGTTCAAAGCGATCTGCCCCCCGACGCCAAGTTTGACAGATTCTCTACAGGTCTCGGCCGCCAGCGTTTGGGGCCAATTCGGTGCGCCTGGCAATGCCGCGTACTGTGCAAGTAAAGCCGCTGTCATTGGGCTTACGAGGACTGCGGCCAAGGAGAACGAGAAGGTCCGAGTGAACTGCGTATCGCCAGGTACGTCAGCTGTGCCACGTGTTTTACCTTTGGCAAGGTGTAGCTGACAACGGGCGTAGGATCTGTCGCCACAGCCATGTCCGTGCATGAAGATCCCGCGGAAGTCAGACAGAGATTGCAGGTCACGGCTCAGAAGAGGAGAGCCCAACCCATTGAAATCGCCTACGTTGTCGCTTTCTTGTTGAGCGACGAGTCGAAGTTTGTGACCGGTGCCGTATACAATGCCGACGGTGGCTGGGTCTGTTGATACTGGAGCAAGAGTTCTTGTGCGTCTGCGCTCCAAGTGACCGACAAAGACACATAGGTTTGGTAGCGGCTCCTGGGTGGGGGTGGGCAAGGATTCGTTTCCCAACCTGCAAAGCTTTTGGTCCGTAAATAGGAGACGTTCGTGATATGCCTTCTGATCCAGTATGCCGCAGTGACGAGCTGATAGGTGTATTCTAAACAGGGTTAATGACCTAAAGACCCAACAATGCGGGATTCAGCGCCGACTGATCTATGAGGAGGTCTGTACCTCGTATAGAAGGCACTGGACGGGGAGGAGTGCCAAGGCGCTAAGTCGCCAAGGCCGTCTTATAGCCCCATATTTGAGAGCGTGTCTCCACCACGGGAGCCAAGGCCGTGCGTGCATGTCACTTAGGTTCATAGTTGCCTTGATTTCTCCGCATCCATCCTGGTCAGCAATTGAGAGCTGCAGCGGGCCACGTGGCACTGGGGGGCTACATTGTCGTGAGATGATACAACAATCTCCCGTGCTACGATAAGGAACAAGTGAAGATCTATCTATGGCGAGAGAGAGATAAGTCTCGAGCTATTCATTAGCTGGACGCGATATTTGGTCATTTCGGAGGAGTGCCGACCGACCTACTGGGCTCAAGGCCACTGGTATTGGGCCGACTTGAATGGTACGAGGCTCGAAAGGCACGGCTGGAGGTGACATCGATTGGACCGTTTCCGGAGGTTCACCATATTGGAATATCCAGCCACTGTGGAACATATACTGCTTTTCTTGTAGCGCATATTCGGTCACCTTACGAAGGTGTTGATGAGTAACAAGATCAGGTCGCCCAGCCGGCTGTCTGAGAAACGGACCGATCGACCGGGCCTGTTACACTCTTTGCCCACCTCGATGCGTCTCTACCAGGCATCAGGTGCAGCGTGACAAGACTACAAAGGGTTCTTTAGACAGTGAACTTGTGCGTTTCGTGTCCGAAAACTCGGCTGGCTATCACTTTTGACATGCCTTCGTCGACGAGCAAGGACGACAGGATACTCATCCTCGGTGCTGGCGCCTTTGGCCTGGCTACCGCATATAGCCTAGCTCTCGCGGGTTACACGTCTGTAACAGTTCTCGACAAGCACGACGACCTCCCAAGTCGATTTTCCGCCGGTTTCGACCTCAACAAAATCATCCGAGCCGAGTACTTGGATCCGTTCTACACTAAACTGGCCCTGGTGAGCTCATGTCTAGACACTGGTTGCCCGACGAGATCTGTTGGCTTGTGACACTGGTCGATTTGGGCTGATGCAATTTGTACAGGACGCGATACGCAAGTGGCAGACGGACCCGTTATACAAACCGTATTATCGGGAGGTCGGTTATCTCAATGTCGTCTCTGGTTCGGCTCCTCCCGTCATCCGAGATGCTCTTCACAAATACGCGAGTTCGATCGAGAAAGTTCCTGCTTTCAGTGGCAAAATCACCATGGTGGATGGCTCAGTTTCGATCAAGGCCATCGAACCAAGATTCTCGGGGCCTGTGGAGGGCTGGAAGGGCTACGTGAACCGACTGGCAGGCTACGCCCATTCCGCCAATGCGATGGAGGCCGTGTATAGAGCATGCATGGCCAAAGGCGTAGCGTTTTACCTGGGTCCTGTCGTGGGTGAAGTGCAGAACCTCGTCCATGCTCCAGGTAGCCACAGCAAGGTCACTGGATGCAGGACTCGAGGAGGCATCATCTACGAAGCTGACCTGATCATTGTTGCCCTTGGTGCAAATGTTGCCCAGATCTTACCTTCAATTTCTTCGCAGGTCACTGCATCTTGCTGGGGCGTGACACATATCCAGCTGTCACCCGACGAGGCTACCAAACTGGAAGGAATCCCTGTGACCAACGTGCGCGACATTGGCTTCTTCTTCGAGCCCGATCCCGCCACCAACAAGCTCAAGCTTTGCCATATGGGTGGCGGGTACACAAACTATGGCAATACTCCTCCTGGTCAGAGTGTGTCGCTGCCGTACCAGACCCTGGAAGAATCGAGATTCATCCCGGACGAGGACGAGCGACAGATTAGACGTTTGCTCCGCGAAGCGTTGCCAGAGCTTGCAGACCGACCGTTGGTTGACAACCACTTGTGCTGGTTCGCCGACACCCCAGACTCGGACTACATCATCGATTTTGTGCCAGACACGGGTAAATCCTTGGTAGTTTTGTCGGGGGATGCGGGTCACGGGTTCAAGATGCTGCCGATCTTCGGTGACTTCGTCCGTGGGCTCTTGGAGGCTGGTGAACAGAGACTTCAAAAGTGGAAATGGAAGATCCCGCAGCAGCAAAACGGTATAGCCCAGCAAGTCGCCTGGCGGGCGAGCAAGTCCAGGGAGCTTGGTGCAATACAGAGTAGATTGTAGGGACGGGTTGCACGCGCAAAGTCAGGCTTCCTAGTGTATCGATTGAGCGTTGAGCCCACCAGCACATTTAGACGAGGCTCTGCTGATACTTTGATGATCCTTACATGTCATGGTAACACCTATCATGGTGTCAACGCATAGACCGACGCATTTGCATGGTTTCAGCAGCAGCTGCGAGGCCAAGTGATACAACGGCCCGGGTTTCCGAGAAGATGGCTATATAGAAACGTCGGGGTCCCATTTGGGCGAATGCCAACAAGTTTCGTTTCGTCCTATTTTTGCTAGGTCTCTACACCTGGCACCAACATGGCGGAAGTGAAGGAGTATCTGCTGAAACCCACGTCTTTGGTCCCCAATTCGCCGCTCTCACTGCTCCATTACAAAAAGGTTCTCGGTCAAGGTCAACTGGAACCCAAAGGCGTGCAACGAATTTTTGCCCGCAACGGCTGGGAGGTTCAATGGCTGGTTCGCTACGGATCCACTCAGAGGTCGCATTACCACTCTGCCGTGCATGAATGCATGGCCGTACTCTCTGGAACGGCAACTATCCGCTTTGGCGTCGCCGACACGGTTGAGGACATGCAGGAAAACACGTGGGGCTCAGGCTCCGAGGCCGGTGGCGTCGAAGTGAGCGCCGAACCTGGCGACCTGTTCATTATCCCGGCGGGTGTCGCGCACAAGACTTACGACGCCAAACCAGCAATGGACTTCTTGCGGCTGACCGGCGGGGACGGTCGTTCTCCCGGGTCCGATGAAAAAGCGGCGGCGCTTTTGGACGGCATCGTGCTGTCAGGTTTCACCATGATCGGTGCGTATCCCGTGGATGGTGCGCCGTGGGACTTCTCAGAAGGAGGGGAGCACGCCGGAAGATATGATGAAGTTTGGAAGGTACCTGTGCCTGCGAAAGATCCTGTATTTGGAGAGTCTCCGGTCGGCCTTTGTGGCTTCTGGGGAAAGAAAAAGGGAGGTGAAATGCTAGAAAAGCTAGTGTCCCGATCAAGTCTGTAATAATAAGGATAAGGCTAGGAATACATCCGGTATCAGGAGGACCCGTAGGTCGAGAGAACCATGTTCATTCTCTCCCCAAGATCAACGGCTCGTGGAACGTTGTACCCGAGTTTACTTTATAGAAATTACGTCCAATGGTCACCTCGCAATGTCGTGTGTCAGATCTCCAAAAGCCGGGTCCGACAGCCACTCAAGCCCATCGAGATCGATCGAATCGGCCACATTGACGAGTTGCTCTCCCGTAAAGCCATCGGTTTGCCAGAAGGCATCCGTTCCCTGACTGAGAGTGGCGGTGGACGAGGGCCTGTGGGTGTCCCCAAAGCCCGGTTGAAACAGCTGAGGACCACTCTCTCGAGAAGCCAGAAGCTCGTAAGACGAGCTGGGTTGTGCTGCATCCTTTGCCGTCATCTTGTTGCCACCAAGTCCAGTTATGCTCGGTACTTCGACACTGGGCCTGCGTCGCTCAGTGTCACGCACCGGGAGTTGACGCAGAGTAGATTCCAATTGTTGCAGTTCAGATTTCATCAACGCAGCCACCAAATTGCCTCTGCGGATCATTTCATCCAAGATGCTGTAAGCCACTGAAGACCATGGAGTAGAGTCCTTGATAAACAGAGTATCCACGGCATGAGCCATTAAAATGACAAGTGTCGAAACAAACGTCGACTCAAGATCAAAGGGCAGAACACTTTCTATAACCAGCTCATCAGCCCATACCTTCGAACATCAAGACCAGTGGGTGAAAATTTACCAAGAAGTGTCTGATCACGCAGGATCCCTAATATGTTCAATGTCTGCTGTGCTGATTCGATACAGACCTGCACGAGTCTATTGGTAGTCTGGGACTCTAGAAGTTTGGCGAAAGTTCCCGAAGCGGCAAGCTTAGCTTCTAGAATGCTGTAAAGAATGGGCCTGGTCGTAAGGATGACACACTATCGAAATGGATCAGCAGGTGCCCAGTCACGGATGAGAATGGACAACATGCCTGATGATATTGGAGGTGTAGATGAGCATAGAGTCTGGAAACCCCGCCCTGGTTGCTTCCAACCACACTGAACGAAGTGTTGAGGAGATCCGTCAAGCTGGCGAGACTTTTCAAGGTATCTTTGGCAGATGCTAGAAATCCCTCCTTGAAGCTGCCTTCGGGTCCATAGATGGCTATGAGAAGAACGTTATTGGTACTGGAGTTCGTGTGCGTTCGTGACTTCAACTGCAGACTTACTGTTGAGCACTCGTGCAAGCAGCTTGTTCAGTCTGATCTGGAAATCAAGCGCCGCAAGTCGCTGAGGAGACTTGGGGAAATCTGGTAGTGGCGCAGCAATTGATTCCTCTGCAACAGCTGCAGGAGCCCCCATGAGAGCTGACATCTGTTGATCGAGAATGTACACCGTCCACCATAGCTTGCGACATCTCTGTACTAATGATGTACTGATGTACTGGCTCTTCATGTCCGAGTGCAAGCCATTTTCGAGCGATAGTCGAACGGCCCAGCCAATCTTTACTCCAAAGTTAGCCACGATGCGCGTGGGAAAACACTTCAAACCCGTACTCACCGTTTTATAAGCAGCGCATCGAAACTCGAGGCAGTGGAAGAACAGGGCAGCACAGCATAAGACCTGTGTCAGTTCAATAGGGTCCGCACCAATGAACATGAAATCAGGGAGTAACTGCATGGCCTCCACGAAGAACTCTGTCCCTGCTGCCTTGGAGGCTGTGGTCGTCTGGACAGCGTACGCCTTTCCGAATGACAGGATCAGTAAATAATGCACATACCAGAGGCTCGAACGATCAGGGCCCCCAGGCGCACTCTCGTGGAATAATGTGAATTGACGCATGAAGATCTCTTTGTCAAACAGGTAGAATAATTGAGTACAGTGGAAATCGACTAGGTTAATCAAATGCGCGGCAAAGTCTGGTGCGGGAAGGGAGATTTGACTGCCGGTGAGTCTTGTGGAAGAATTTCTCTTGCCGTCCCATCCCAGTTTGTAGACTTTGCCCTCGAACAACAGATTGTCTAGAGGGAGAGGAGTTCGGCGAATCCGCTTGTAGGCCAGGGACAGGACACGGCGGCCAAACGACCAATTTGAAGACGGTCCAAAATAGACTGCGACGGGTACTTCAGTATGCAACTCCTTTGTTATGAGGGTAAAGCCAGGCGAACTTACGCGGCTTGCCATCGCGATCAGGGTCATAGTTGGCAAAACCAAGTCCGAACGGATTCGAAAGCCCAGGCTCGAGTGATTCGCTTAGCTCTTGTCGTGCTGGTAAACTGGCTACTATGGCGTTGAGACATCGATACCACCAAACGAGGCGCCATACGTACTTGGTGGTTGATCTCGTCCGTCCTCTTGGTGTCTTTCCGAAGGTCGCTCCGAAGGCGACACGCCACGTCGTGGCTCTTCTGATCGAGTTAGCACAGCTGGAGTGTAAGTCTTTTCGCTCCGGGGAAATTCACCATCTTCCCTCGCTGCATCTGGCCAGGTCCAAATTGCGCTACCTGTGGGAGGAGACAAGCTGGCATTTCGCCTATCGCGCTCGAGTGACTCCAGCCTTTGTTCGAGATCATGGATATACCTGCGTACGGCTCAGTCAAACTAGAGCTTTTGAGCATGTACTTCCTATGCTTTACATACCCTCTGGTAACGGTGACTTTTTGGGTGCGGTCGTCGAACTTACACACCCGACCTTTGCTGAGACACTGTTCGCACGGCAGGGAACCCGTGCATCGAATTTTGAGTTGCCTGCATCTCGTGCACCTGTAATTTCCCCCAGGTCAGCGTCGTCAGATCTAGACTTTTCCCCGTGGGGGAAGGGGAGCATGTCTCGTACGCTACCAACGCCCGCCTCACTCCTGACCCATGTGCTGTGTGACCAGGCAAATGTGGACGCTCTCCACCCATGTCGAGAAATCAACGTCGAGAAATTCGCACCCCTCGTCCTGGGTGAGAGCGAAACTCACGGGACAAGATGCCGTGGGAAATAAAAGCGAAAGTGGAAGACGGGGTGTTGACGGGAAGAAGGAGGAGTAGAGACACGGACGGCCTTGCCGGCCGATGATATGAAGCCGTCGCGCTTGAGACCCCAAAACAAGGAGTGACTAACTAATTATAGTTAGCGTCCCTCGATGGAGTTGATAAGCTCGAGATGGCCAGCTCCCTCTTGCGGCCTTACGTTATCGGTTTAGGAGACCTGGTCCACTCCACTACTTGATGCGGACCATTTCCCCGACTGCACCCTAGAGGAGGTCTATCTCCGGAGACTGGAATGCCATAGACTATGCACTCGACGAGGACTCTCGAGGAGAGAAGCTCAACCATAGAGTGTGGCGGCGATATACTTCTAGTGTCCGTCTGTCTTATCTTGGGCACCGTAAGATAACGCAGAGGTTCAAGTGTACTTTGCACGTCGGCGTATATAAATTTCTCGTGTAGCCAACCGTGGTATCTCTCAGTTCTGCCAAAGTTCTGTCACAGTTACCCTGTCCTACTCAAAACCATGGAGAAAGATACCAAGTCATCCCCAGAACCTACCCTGGCCCAAGTCCCATCCCTTGAGTCTGGTGTTATGCTCGAAAATGCAGACCAACTTTCCCGACGGCTCAACAATCGACAAGTTCAGCTTATTGCCGTGGGTGGTGCGGTCGGCACCGCCTTGTTCATCAGCATCGGCGGTGCTCTCACAAAAGGGGGTCCCTTGAGCTTGTTGCTCGCCTATACCTTCTACAGCTGCGTCATGGCTATGGTGAACAACTGCATCGCCGAAATGGCCACCCTCCATCCAGTCGCCGGAGGGTTTGTGCGCATGGCTGGAAAATGGGTCGATGAGGCGTTTGGTTTCATGGCCGGCTGGAATTTCTTCTTCTACGAGGCTCTCGTGGTGCCGTTCGAGATCACGGCCATGGGGATCGTGATTGGATTCTGGTCCGACAACGTCCCTATTGCCGCCGTGTGTGCAGGCTGCATTGTGGTATATGTGTAAGGACATTGCCATTTCCCAAGGACGTGTCTATCAGAAAATTGGCTCTAACTTCGACTCTTCTGTCAGTCTCATTAACTCCCTCACTGTCCGTGCTTATGGTGAAGCCGAGTTCTGGCTCTCTGGTGGAAAGGTCATTCTCATATTCATCCTCTTCTCCTTCACCTTTGTCACCATGGTCGGTGGCAACCCCAAACATGACGCCTATGGATTCCGTTACTGGAAAGACCCGGGTAGCATGACCGAGTACCTATCTTCAGGAAACCTGGGTCGTTTCGAGGGACTCCTCGCATGCTTGTGGAGCGCTGGTGAGTGTTTAACCCTGACCGTCTCAGGACCTCTAAATCTGAGCCATCGATCCTGACGTCTTTGCAAAAGCTTTCACTATTGTCGGTCCGGAGTACATTTCCATGGCATCTGCCGAAACCAAGCGTCCGAGAATCTACATCAAAACCGCATTCAAGACCGTCTACTGGCGTTTCGGTGCCTTTTTCATCGTTGGCGCCCTGGCCGTCGGTATTGTCGTCCCTTATAACGACCCAACCTTGGTGGGCATCAACAACGGCACTCAAAGTGGCGGAGGTACTGGTGCTGCCTCACCTTATGTGATCGCCATGGCGAATCTCGGGATCGGTGGCCTGCCTCATCTCGTCAATGCCTTGATCTGCACCAGTATCTTTTCAGCAGGCAACACCTACTTCTACGCCGCGACGCGAGCCCTTTACGGCCTGTCGCTCGAGGGCCGCGCCCCGGCTTTCCTCAAGAAGTGTACCAAGAGAGGCGTGCCTCTGTACTGCGTCGCCGTCACGGCGATCTTTCCGTGCCTGTCTTTCCTCTCTCTCTCGAGTGGATCTGCCGTCGTGCTCAACTGGCTCATCAACTTGGTGACGGCTGGCTCATTGATCAACTTTGTCGTCATACTCATCACCTACTTGGTCTTCTACAACGCGTGCAAGGCACAAGGCGTCGATAGACGCACTTTCCCCTACTTCGCCTGGGGACAACCATACTGTGCCTGGGTCGCTTTGGTCTCGGAACTCGTCATCCTCTTCTTCTTCGGCTACACCAGCTTCGACCCACCCAGCGCAGACACCTTCTTCTCGTGCTATACCATGGTGGTCCTGGCCCCGTTCACGTACGGGTTCTGGAAGCTCTTCAAGAAAACAAAGTTTGTCAAGGCACGGGAGGTGGATCTCGTCTGGGAGAGACCAGTTATCGACGCGTACGAGGACAGTTTTGTGAGCCCCCCAGTAGGATTTTGGACCGAGACCGTTCAAATATTTGGCTTCAAGAGAGACAGGGTCGATGATGATCGCCGAAGGTCCGTCACTGCGTAGGCTTAGTGTTCCCGCGGAGACATATATTCATCGTTTGTTAGATATCGCCGAGGAGATGTAGCAATTTATCTCAGTCAGTCTTCCTTTGGTAGCTGAATATGATCGTCGTTGCTTTACTGCCTTGGAATCTTACGTTACTGTTTACGGACGACTTACCCGTGCACCTTTGTGGTCACCATCAAAGGACGAGCTTTAGTCTCATTGACAAACCTGGCACGAGAAATCTACTATATCTACACTGAGTCTCGGGCTCCCCAAGATGATCAGGGGCTCGGTCTACCAGGGAGAATTCCTAATTCAACCTCTCAAAGACAATAGAACCATCGTCCCCCCGGACACTATTACCTATTTCCGTACAACATCGGCGACCGCCGCTGATCACACTTTTCTTCAAATAGTGTAGATGGAAAAGAAATACAATATTCAACGTGCTACACGATAGAGAGAACCTTTGGTATGTTGAAGGTCGAAAAGATTGCCTTCTCATCGAACAGGTCGGCAAGAGGAGTAGCCCGCAGTGTTGCCAACTAACTCGTAGTCCGTCTAACCAGTCCCACGCCTTGGGATTGGTCTCTACCTAAGCTCGCTAGTAGTCTAGACTATCGTCCCGACCAACAATCTGGTACAGACCTCAGACACTACGAGTCCTCAAAGGACGTCGCCGGAAGGCGATCACGATTCAGTTACGAGAGCCACTTTCCATGTCACCAAATGATACGGTACCGGGATCCTTGGTTGTAAGATCCTTAATTACACAAGCTAGGTAAGAAGAGTATAAGTAGTCCCTGAGCCGAACCAGGACATGTCCACCTCTGGTCCAAACTCGTCATTTGAAAGGAAAAAATCCGCTCCGCCTTCCAGGCCTATCAACGTATCTATAGCCTCAAGCGGTGTCCGGTCAGGGATGACCATGTCATGGTGTCCGCTATGTTCTTGCGGCGCTCCGCCCGTGTCTCCCATGGCTCTGTCGATCGATTCGTCGGCAATCTGTGTCCGGTTCACATGCGTTGGCGTATCAGGGAATTTTGTTGCGGTAGTGGTAGCTGTGTCAAAAGCCGTGTTGAGGGGTTGGAAGGGTCTGGAATTTCTCGGGAACGTCTCGTCCGAGCAAATGCCCTGCTGTTGAGCACCGGTCGAGGCTCGGGGCGGTCGTGAATGCTGCAACAAGCTTGTCTGAACCGCAGTGTGCTTGTAGGTGACATCCCCTCGCATGGCACGCGCCAACCACGAGACTGCGAATTCAGCAGATGCGTACAAGTTCTGTAAGCGGCGAAGGGCCTGCATGCAAGTCTCCAGCTTCCTCATGCTGGTCAGCCGCGAGCTGGGCTCTTGCGACTGCAGCTCCTGCAAATGGAAGATGGCGGCAGGAAGAACGCAGGTGACCCCGGTGTTGGGCAAGAATTCCACCAGATTACGGGCGCACAAGTCCCGATACAGGTCGGTAATCTCGTTGGACGCCTCACGTATCCTCCGGCAGGAGTATTCGCGCAGTTCTAGAGCGGCCGAACCAAAATTCATCCTGACCTTGTTGAGCAGTGGCCTGTGAAGAACACACACAGCTGCAAAATACAGGCCAGTGAGCAAGGCATGGTAGATGTAGACGAGGTCGTGGCCAGACGAGTCCGACCGTGGTTCGGAATCTTGGAACTGGTACGTCAAATCAAGTGGAAGGTTGGAAAACCAGTTTTCGAGTTCCCTATCACACTCGAGAACTTCAAAGTACTCACCCAGCAGTATGTTGGACCTCGAATTCCATTCTCGGCCATCCTTGTCATCTCTCCCATCTTCATCAGGGCTTGCTAGATGACTAAAGTTGAAATGTTTGAGGTCGGGGATCTGGCTAATGCGCACGCATAGCTTGGTCAGGTCGATGCATAGAATGGCCAGAGCGCGCTGAAGTTCCACGTCGCTCGCCACCTGACAGCCGCCTAGCATCTGAGTAATGCTCGGGGAATATGCCTCGATGTCAAAATCGGACAGCTCGAGCAGAGGAACTCGCGAGCCGGTCGAGAGCCGCACGGGGCGACGCAAGGCGATTGCGGTAAGCCGGTCTCTCATGTACAAGGACCACCATACTCGCTTTCGGATTTTCTGTGTCGCCGTGTCATAGCGCTTGTCATCGCATGGGTTATTCTCAAGATCAATGTGACGTGCATGTGCAATGGCAATTCCCAGCCAGTGCCAGACATTCTTCAGGGGTTCTGTCTCCTCATTGAAGTACGTCATGAGGAGCAAGGCCTGGACATAACTGAGGACATCGGTATCGCATTCGAAATCGACAAGGACCTTGATTCTCTGGAAGAACGTTTTGCGTAAAAGCCGACGATTGGAAATCCCTTGAGGTCGGACAAGATCCATGCTGACGTATGGTGTCGACGCAAACATGACAGCCTGGAAGGTGACAATGCTGACCCTTCCTGCCCGGCCGTCGCTTT